GAGAGAGAGAGAGAGAGAGAGAGAGAGAGAGAGAGAGAGAACGCAAATGAGAGAAGAGTGTTCTGGTTTGTCACTGCTGTACTACTTAATTTTGGCAAAGAGGTAGGAGCGCAGCCCTCAGGAGATCTAGCAGGAAGTGACCTCAAATAACCCAAAGTTCCTCACCCTTTACAGATATGGGGAAGCTGTGAATCTCATAGGTTGTTCAACTCCCATCAGAACCAGTCAGCATGGTCTATTATCAGGAATAATGACATCGGTATTCCAACAACATCTGAAGTTTTCCCGTCCTTATGCAATAGTACCTGTTTGGGCTTCCACAGAGAAGTACGGCTGACCTTCAAGAATGCTGTATACTAGTTTGGCACTGTTTCCATAAGTTGGGTCATCAGCATCGGAGGCAGTCACCTGAATAACAGATGTGCCTAAAAATAGAAAGTGAAGGAGGTACATTGATTAAATATGTATGTAAAACCACATATCTGGTAACACTGATAATGTTTTGGGAATGCACTTTTATTATTTTTTTCAACAGACATCAAATAAAGGTATTGTTTATTATAGTGTTTACTAATAAAGCACTGGAAAACTCAAGTCTCATTTCTGTGGGTCTGGTTTCATCAACACTGACCCACCAGCTGTGCCAGGGACTATGAGAGATTGGACCAATTCATTTCTTAGAGCAAACAGTTTAATAAATTAAATTCCACTAAATAACCCCTCCCCCAGTAATTGTTTAATATTATTATTTGCGATAGTCTTTATACACTGCCTGTGATATCACCCTTTTTCTCTCAGTAGGTGGAAAATTCCTTTGGTTGCGTTTAAACAAGAAGGTAAGTAAAAATGCTCAGAAGCTACCCATTGCAAACATTCTACTGTGACCAAGAACACAATCTGGGGTTTAGTTAAGAGGAGGTCTTTATAGATCTAGAGGTAATATTACCTTTGGGCAGAGAGTTCCCTCATGATATTCTCCCCTGGCTTTTAATTGGGCTTGTTGATATTAAGCAGTAAATAGAAATCAGTAATAAATAGAGGAGGGTGATGAAAGTAGGGAGCCTAGGCAGTTAGAGTGGTTCCTCAGGTACCTCATCAGTAAGGGACCCCAAACCTCACCCATGACAATTTCTTCACTTTGTTCATCCTCCTTGGAACATGTTTTCAAAAGCAATGTCTTTTTCAGGGCAACACTACCAGAAGCTACATTTAGGGCTGCTCAGAGATTTCCAAAGGTAATTGACATGGTGTTGGCCTGCATTTAAGGAAGGAAAAGGCAATCTAAAGTATAATTTATGGCCTTTGACTGTAATTCATTTACAAAGAGGATAGTCCTCTGATCATCACTTTCTATTATGAGTAGGCAAATGGCTAGAAGTCAAATGCTGTTCTGATCCACTAACCAGCAGCTACGAGCTTGAATTCTCTTGTGAGTCTCAGACACTTAATAGTTGAGTCCATGTAGTGGCCTTCAGTTTCTCTTGTACTGTGGTTCTGATTTAGTGCAGTAACAGGAACAAGAGGTCGATATGGTAGATCATGGTGAGCATCAAAGGAAGTGTGCACTTAAGATCTGCATGGCTGCAAGGTCAGGGATCACTCTGGGCCATCCCAAGATATGTTGGCTACGGTTTCATATCCTGAATTTGTCTTAAACTGCCAATGGCATTGGTAGGAGCTGTATATATACACAGTACATGTAACATATTTGTTGGCAAACAGATTATACTAATACTTTCCAATCTTAGCTGAAGAAGACAAAGGAGATACAAATTCACAAGCGATACAGATGTATAAGCAAACATGGATGTTCATTGGTCCCTTTGAACTCTGTGATGCTGGGGGTCCTGTCTCCATCTGAGCCTACTTGTTGGATCACAGTGTGGTGGATCAGAACCATTATCTAGAAAATCACACAGAGATTGAAAAGAAATAGTAAATCTCTGGTTGGATCGTGCCACTTAAGATTTCAGGTGTGATGAAATCCTTAAAACAGCAAGAAAAATAGCCACTTCAAAGAGATGTATGGTAGCCTGTCATTCTCCAAGTTAATTTTCTTTAAACAGAGAGTCTTAACTGGGAACCTTTACCTGTGACCTTAAGTGGCACCGGGGTGGGGAGGGGGGGGAGAGAGAGAGAGAGAGAGAGAGAGAGAGAGAGAGAGAGAGGGGGGGGGGGAGCTTTCTTACATGCTATAGGCAAGAATAAGGCTTGGACTAATGTTATCTATCCTAAGTATAATCCCTAACATAGAAATGATAATTATGATTTACATGTTTATATTACCAAATAGCCAAAGTTATAAGGACAGTTTACAAAAGAGTACAAGACAAAGTAAATTGTTGTGGCCCATCATTTCTTGTCATGACAATGGTAGCAGATTCTTCTGTCACATACCTACATTGGACCTCTCTGGTACATTGGCATGGTAATTTTCTTGTAAGAATTCTGGAGGGTTGTCATTGATATCTTGAACTTTCACAATGAATTCTGAGGGTGGTTCCAGGGGTCGGTTGGTATTCCTGTCCACAGCCTGGGCTGTTAATGTGTATTGAGCTCTTTCTTCCCGATCCAGTGTCTTTGTTGCATGGATATTCCCTGATTTGTCATCAATAACAAAAATGATGCCTGCTCCTTCACCTGAGAGAATGTATTTGATGTTCCCATCACCAGAATCAATATCGGAATGAAGCTGTAAATGCAAAATAAATAAATGAGTTTTCACAGCCAAAGAATAGCATTTGTCAAAGCATTATTTTAAAAATGTTAATATATTTTCTGGGGTTTTCAAATGCTGCCCTTCTTCCCCTGAGACTGTAGACTCATCAAACAGAAAAGAAGCAAAATTTTACTCAGATTTTTTTTTCCTGTACAGAAACTACTCTGCCATGACACCTCTGGGCTTATCGGCGTTGGATGTAGCTAGCAAGTAATTTGAATAGATATTCTAAAGAGAGAATTCACAAAGTACATTGAGGATTATTTGAATATGCACTTTGATTTTTTAACAATTGTGGAAAGTAAAACTGATTAGTAGTTGTTGAGATTAAAAGCAGAAAGTAGACTATCTTTTATGGAAGGTTTTATAATCATCAGATTCTTTTATAAGCTGCCTTTCGAAAAATATAAAAGTAGTTCTGCAAATCATGGATTGACAAGAAAAGAACCACTCATTGGCTTCCAACTAATTTCCAATTTCTTAGCTACTAATACCCATTGTGAAATGTTGATTCATGGTACTAAAGCAATTAATATATGAAGTGCAATCAGCCCCACTTCCCCAAGTTCTATAATGCTAGAATATTAGCTCCATGAATATGCAATATAGAGTATTGGTACCCTTCCTGCTTTCTTACATTTTATCCTTTAAATCTCACACACTGGTGATAAATTGTTCCTTAGATAAGTCTCATTTATCACAACTGAGGCAAATGAAGCAGCACTTCAGGGTTCTTTGTGCACTACATGCCAATCTTGGAAAAGGGAAGTGCATTCTGCTACAGCAAGATAAGCTACTTGCCCAAACTGCGGGCACTCCGCAGGAACCTAGGGTGGATCTGTGCTCTACCCCTGCTCTTTATGAGGCAGTGATGGGCTACTGTGTATCAAAACACTTTTACTGGTATTCAGCTACATAAATGTGCTGATGAATACAGCACATTCCCAGAGTGTTAGAAAATATGATCTTGCATAATACACAAATGCAACCGTTGGACTACCTGGAATGAGGATGTGTGAAGAGAAATGGGCCAAGGAGAAGGAATCTCTTATCCATCCATTAAGCTACACAAAATGTGGTGTGTATGGTTCTCCTTACTGCTATTCTGCCATCTCCCATGGGGTCAAATTATCTGGTCAGTCGAATCAGATCAGTATCCCCATTCCCCACCACCTGATAGCAATTAATGTAAACAAATGCAGCCCCTCTTCTGTGCTGACTTTCTGGGGTAGCCACTGAATCATTTTAGAATAGTAGAGTTGGAAGTAGACAGAAGACCATCCCTCTCAGATGGCTGTCCAGTTGCATCTTGAATGCCTCCAGTAAAGGTGACTGTACAACCTAGGAAATTGGTTCCGTTGTCTGCTGTATCCTGGTATCTAACCAGAATCTGGCTTCCTGTAAATTAAGAATGTTACTCTGTGTCCTGCACTTTACGATGATCAAGAAGAGAGACTGTCTTTCCTCTTTGTGACAGCCTTTCAAGTACTTAAACAGTCCTATCATCTCCCCTCAGTCATTTCTAATCAAAGCTAAACATGCCCAGTTCTTTCCATCTGACCTCATAGGGCTTTGTTTCCAGTCCCTGGATCATCCTTTTTGCCCTCCTCTGAACCCTTTCCAGCTTGTCTACATCTTTCTTAAACTGTGCTGCCCAAAACTGGACACAGGCCTCCAGATGATGAGTCTTCACATGATTTGGAAGTGATATTTCTGGGAATGCAGACTAAAATAGCATTTGCCCCTTTTGCAGCCACATCACATAGAATAGTAGAGTTGGAATGGGCCATGAAGGCCATCGAGTCAAACCCCCTGTTGTTGTAGAACACCAAGTCACACCATCCCACTCAGATGGCTGTCCAGTTTCTTTCTGAATGTCTAGGCAGCTGGTTTCACTGTTGCATTGCTCTGACAGTGAGGAAAGTTTTCCTGAATCTGGGTTGGTGCAACCTGACTTGATTATTCTGTGTCCTACACTCTGGCATTAGTAAGAAGAGATCTTGATCTTCCTCTTTGTGACAGTCTTGGAGGTACTTATCGAGTGATATCATGTCTGCTCCCCCAACCCTTGTTGAATCTCATTCTGTTGCTTTCAGCCATCACTCAAGTTTATTAAATTCATGCTGGATCTTCATTCTGTTTCTGTTTTCTAGGATTTTTGCTATTCTACTCAGTTTTGTATCATCTGCAAATTTGACTAGCTTTCTTTATACTTCCTTATCTAAATCATTAATTAAATGTTGAAGAGATCTGGGCCCAGGACTGAACCCTGCAGCACCTCACTAGTTACCTCCCTCCAGGTTGAGAAGGTGCTATTTATGAGCATTCTTTCTGTCTGATTTATGCTCCAGTATTTGATCCATGTAAAAGTTTTTCTACATAGTTCATTTTTCGCTAGTTTGCTTATAAGGATGTCATGAGGGACTGTGTCAAAAGCTTTGCTGAAGTCCAAGTAAATTATGTCCACAGTATGGATAATAACCCTCTGTCCATTTGGGAGGTTACCATTCAAACAATGAGATTAAATTAGTCTGACAGGATTTATTTTTATTTTTAATAAATCCATGTTGGCTTCTATTAATCACTTCATTTTCTTTGAGATGCTTGCATACTTTTTAAATAAGTTGCTTCAGAATTTTGCAGGGATTGGCATCAGACTAACTAGTCTGTAGTTCCCAGGTTCATCTTTTGAAGATGGAGACAACATTAGCCCTCCTTCAGTCATCTGGCACTTCTGTTTTCCAAGATTTATTGAAGATAATAGTTAGTGGTTCCGAGAGTTTGCTAGCTCTTTTATGACTCTCAGAAAAAAATGCAACATAAGTCATGCAAAAATTAAAAGTTGTGATATAGTGCATTTGAAAAATTATGTAATATAATAGGAAAAATACTTCAAGGATTTGTTTAGTTGTGTATCATATGAAATGACAGTGAGTCAGTCATGATAATGCTGGTAAAAATGCCTAGAGTTAATATTTAGGAATAATTATAGAACTATATTCTAGTATTTATATAATAGAAAGGTAATTTAAGGAATGGTATATTGTCTGGAGATCCATGAATCAAGGCAAGCTGGATGTGGTCAAACAAGAGATGATGAGACTGAACATCAACATCTTAGGAATCAGTGAACAAAAATGGACAGGAGAAGAGCCTAATTCTGGGGACAATAGATGGCAAAAGAAGAAGGGGATGGCAGAGGATGAGGTGGCTAGATGGAGTCACTGAAGCAGTTGGTATGAGCTTAAGTGGACTCCTGGGGATGGTAAAGGACAGGAAGGCCTGGGAAAAGGTTGTCCATGGGGTCGCGATGGGTCAGACACGACTTCGCGACTAACAACAACAACAACAAATATTGTTCTGGGTAAGATGCATGTTCCTCCTTTTCTGGGGACAAACCAATTTTAGGATAGGAATGCTATGTCATCAGACAGTATTGGATGAGTTATACTGAATTTCACTTTACATATTACAAGTGCACTTCACAAAGTGTAAATTGACATTCATTGTAACTCTCTCATTGTATATTAATAATTGACATTCTTAATCTAAATCTTGCCCATACAAAAGGGGGAAGTCCCTTCTATATCATGTTTTAAATTTCTCTTTCACTCTCTCATTTTATTGTTAATGAGTTCTGTACTAGAAATGTATTTTGTTCAAGCAGAGCATAGCCTTTAAATTCAAACTAAAGAAATAGCTGACAATCAGGACCCAAGCAAGAGGTGAGCTAGGTGAGTGAAATTTAGCTAGACTTTAGATCCAGGCTTTTCGGCTCAGATTTGAACCCCATGAACATGACAAATCAAAGACAAACCAACAAAAGCCAAGCCAAGCCAAGTCGGGATAGGCAACTGCAGAATGTTCAAGTTTGTGGGGATCATCAGTGCATCACCTTGCCGGATTCCTGTTCACACTTGTGAATGCTGCTCACAAGTGTGAATAGGAAATTGACCTGAAGCAAACAGTCATCAAATGGGGGATCTGGGCCAAACTCTCCACATTTTCCAAAATTTAAAGCAAGGCTGAATCAGTCTGCTGGGAAAATTTGTGCAAATCAACCTGGGAATTGGGAATAAGATGAGCAGCAATAGATGTTTGCAAATATCTTGGTAGGCACATGCTCATTCTTGCATTCAGAGTTTTGAAGGGGGCATAGTTGCATGTTTTGCAAACAAAAAAGTAAAAACTCATATAGTGCCACCAGACTGGATATCATGTCTGAAGATCTTTATGGAAATTTATCAGTCTGTATCTGCATCTACTGTTCAGGATTTGTGAGGTTTCTTGGAAACAATCACACAGTCAAGGAACCACAGAGTAGTAGAGCTGAAATGGCAATGAGGCCATCAGGTGCAACCCCCTGCTCACTGTAGGTCTCCAAAAGAATACATTTCAGAAATATGGCTGTCCTTCTGCATCATGAATACCTCCAGTGTGGGAAAGCCCACAACCTTCTCAAGCCACAGATTCCATTGTTGCATTGCTCTAATACTCAAGACATTTTTCCTAATGTTCTGCCAGAATCTGGCTTCCTGCAACTTGAATCCATTATTCCTTGTGTTGTATTCTGGGCAGATCAAGAAGAGTTCCTGGCCGTTCCTTTGTTTGACAGCCTTTCAAGTAATTGAAGAGTGTTATCCCTCCTCCACTCTCTCTGCCACTAGCCAAATCTTCTCTTCTCAGGGCTAAACATGCCAAATTCTTTCAGTTTCTCCTCACAGGATTTTGTTTTCAGTCCACTGATCATTGTTGTTGCCTTTATTTGTATCTTCTCCCATCTACCTGCAGTTTTCTTAAACTGTGATACAGTATGCAGTATTTAGGATGCAATATTTGGGATTAAGCCTAACCAGTGCTGAGGAGGCGAGAAAACAAATACTTAGGTTGAAAGATTGGTTGGCGAAAATGAGACAAAGAAAGGAAAATGGCATTACTAGAAAAAATAATAATTTGGTTTAATGTTATACAAT